TTAATAATTATTTATAAGCACTATCATACAAGAAATGTCAAGAATGAATTTTCCTTCAATGGTGGTTTTTTATCCATCAAAAGTTTAATATAGTTTTGACGAGAGAAATGTTTCTCAACAATTTTCAGAAAGTTTTACAAGATTTTGGGGCTTGTTTTGAATTGGGCTATTCCATTTAAAAGACATAACCCCCGTATCAAGGACAATGGTTTTACCATATCTCTGAATAATTCCTGACATAAAAGAGATCCCCTGAAGAATTCCTGTTACCCCTGAAGAATTACAATTTTTACATCTGACCCCTAAAGGAATTGCATTTGAAATAACCAACCCCTGAAGAATTCCACTGGAGAATTTGTTTACCCATGAGGAATTCCGGAGTTAAAAAGGGAGATTATGGATATTAAATGGAATAGCCAATTTTCTGGAAAATTTAGCCCAATTTTCTGGAAAATTTCCTGGTTGTTTTCCCTTGCAGCTTGTTTATAAACATGCTTGTTTATCTATAGCATCATTTGTAGAAAAGGTGTTGAAAGCATTTTTTGAAAGCAATGACGATTATCAAATGACAAATGATCATGCGAGCGACACTTGCTAGGAAGATGGTGACTGTGGGACAACTATATAGTTTTGTTTGTGGAAACACCACATAAATTTATTACTGCAAAGCTTTCGATCCGTAAGCCCGGATCTTCATCAGTGCTAATATGTGACTTGTTTAATTCACACGCCCTTTTTATATACAAAAAATGTCTTGATCTGTTGGCTCACATATTATTAGCACTGATGAAGATCCGGGCTTACAGATCGAAAGCTTGGCAGTAATAAATTTACGTGGTGTTTCCACAAACAAAACTATTATATGTTTTATCGCCATGCAAACATACAAAGAACTTATTGTGGGACAACTTTTTTACTGAAGTTATACATCTGTCTTCACTTAATCTGTGGCTTAGCTGGCTAGACCTTGATTCTTGCCTGTGGTCCCCCTTTGCATTTGACCCAAATGTTTTGGTCATTTTATATTTGCCAATATAAATCTTTTTGGCATAGAAATTATACATTTGGAATAATAATTTTGTATGCTGCATTCAATCTATTCTCCATTCAGGGAGATTCTTTTGTAAATACCCACACCAATCAGAAGTCTGTATTTTTATGCTAAGACAGAAATTGGCATCCCAGAGAGTAAATTATATTCACGTTTAGGGCATGTTTCAGCTCTATATCTTGCCGTTGCAAGTTGCTTTGCGTTTGATGTTTGTTCTGGGATAAAATATTGAATTATACCTTAAATTAATGTTTTGTGAAATTTAGTTTAAATAATTTAGTAAAGAGATGAGTGCATAAAGCATAGGGATTTTGAAGCTAAATATGTTATAAAATTTGTCATTTTAGTGAATGCGTTCTTTTCTGCTCGTCCTGGTTGTTGCAAGGAGACATCAGGCATTGTAATGGATGATGACAATGTGTCGCTGGCAAACCTACACCGTGTGCATTTTCTTGGTGGATATCTTGGGCAAATATCTTATATAAATTGGTATGATTGCTTACCTTAAATTACTAAAGAAGGATGATGTTGTAAGGTTAGTGGATATTTATAGTAGTGATAAAATGGGGGTTCCCTATGAATAGGAACAAAGTAAGGCTGCCTAATTAAGTGGAAACAATATTGTGCAGTGTAACAATCTAAAAATATGGCGGACTGAAATCTGTAAAAATGATGCATGTTTAATTTAAAACATGCAAAAATTGCAGCATAAATATATCACGAAACATGCTTCTTACAACTACATGCTATGTTTATAGGAATTTGAATAAGTTTTTAGTAGGCATGATTTAGGATTTTTGTTTTATTTTCATTTATGATTTTCTATAAATGCCCCAACTAGTTTATATCTAATACGTAATGTATAATATATAGATTGTAAATTTTTTGATCTAGAAAATAATAGAGCTCTTATACAACTACATGCTGTGTTGGGTTGTTAGGGTTGAATAAGTTTTTTAGGGTTGAATAAGGATGTAAAGCCTCTAAGGAACTCATAATTTTTAACTAACGCATATCATATTTCATTAATTTGATCTTGTATATATAGTTTTGTATTTCGTAGTAGCGTCATTCCTGATGATGACTGCAAGCTAGTCGAAACGTCGAATCAAAATGTTAACCGTTTTCGGAGTGTCCATTGTTTTGTATTTTTTAAAATAAGTTTTTAGTAGGCATGATTTAGGATTGTTTTTATTTATGATTTTCTATAGACTGTCCCCCCCCCCCTCGCGGTGGAAGGATAACAGCCTGTGGCCATTTGTCACTAATGCTGCACCGTGACGTAGTCGTATAAATAGATATTTAACAGTCTGTGGCCATTTGTCACTAATGCTGCACAGTGATGTAGTCGTATAAATAGATATAATATTGTGCACTTCAGTGGCTATCTAATTTTATTATCCAATCAGGTGTGTTACTTTAAATAGAACTTATTGTATGTAAACAAGGTCAATAGACAACGTTTGGGACAACATTGCTTTCTTTAACATATAGCATAATTTGTCTTCGTCATTCTGTGCACAATGAAGTATTGGGTCATTCCAGAAAACATCCATACCCCCCCCTCCCCACGGAGGAAATAGGAAGTTAACCCCCTACCCCCTTCGGATGCCCTAATACATTTACTATTATCAGAAACAATTTTTTGTCCCCTCCCCCTCCGGACGGCAGAAATTTCCTCTGTGGGGGGAGTATGGATCTATTCTGGAACGACCCATTCAAGGCAAAGAAAATATGCAAGCATTAAATATTTCCTGCATTATTTCTCAATCCTTGCTCAATGACAAAAACATACTTAAATTAAATTTGTAATATAGGAAAAATAGATTTTCTGTAATATATATTTATCTGAAACAACCTCATGCTATGTACACTTTTGTAAGTTGTCTGTTTGTTTCAAAACTTACAAAAATGTACATTAAAACAAGTAAGACTGAAGAATCATCTAAAATTCTTAAAAAAAAACCCCAAAAAACACCTCATGCTATGTTGATAGGAATTTGAAGTTTTTAGTAGGCATGATTTAGGATTTTTGTTTCTATTCATGATTTTCTATAAATGGGTGCCCACCTAATTTTTGAGATATGATATGAATTTATGATATCTTTATCACATAAAAGAGTGGCAGTGTCATCACAACAGTATAAAAAACCAACTACTGTGGGCTCAATTTTACAAATACTGTATAAATATACAATAACATAACTTAATTTATGAGAATAAATACAACTATCAGGAACAACAAGAGAGTGGAGTAGCAAGACTACAAGCAGTGTTACATTTCAAACAGATTCTTAGTTTATATTGATAGCAGTAATGTACCATCTGTATAACATACAGTTGTAAAATTTGTAACGTCTCTCTGGAGCAGGGGGGGGGGGCACAGTCTTTCTTTAGGTTGTAAAGCGATGATTGGGCTAAGAAAATTTCAATACGTCATTGCTGTTGAAATGACTTAATTCATCACTAATAATATTGCTCATAATATACCATCCAGCGTCTATTTTTGAGAAAATTGTTGCACAAACCATGTTCCAATGTTTGCGATGTGACCATTGCATATGGCTGTCAAAAACGTCCAGATTAGTTAGATTATTGTTTTCTAAAACATTGCGCGGCTCGTGATTTTAGAACTCGTTTTATGCTTTAACCCATTGAGTGGCTCCACTTGACAAGTAAAATCCTGTGGCGTTAGACAGTAAAATACTAAAGTTGGGTGCATCTGGGTGCAATGCAACTTAAAGGGTTAAATTAACCAAAAAAAGTTCATACATTTGTTTGAAAAAAGATTTTAACACAGTACCATGCCTGTTTGTATTTTGAAGTTCCTTGAGTTAAACATGATACTGCATAAAACCCTAGTAGGGAACCACCTCCAGACCAATTTACACTCACCTGCGACAAAATAGGGAGGTTGTGTGCTTGATTTGCACAGTGCAACTCAAGTTGTAAGCATCTTGCATGGGACCATCTGATGCACAAGACTTTCCTCTTGATGAGTAAAATGATCTGATATCAGACATTTGAGTTCCTTTGCAGCTTAAGGAGTTAATCCTATTTATCTTAGAGAACAGCAATTCAACTATCTGGCTGGCTTGACAAATAACTATACACCAACAATGTGTGCAAAGGCAATTAAGTGTATCCTTGGAAAATTTTATCTGAGATTATGCAGAGTTGTTTACAACTTTTTTGTTCAAGCCTAGTGACTTATTTCAGTGCATGAAAATCATCCCACCTTTCATCCTGTCCTGACAAACTGGGATCATGTAAACAGCACATTTAGCCATTAAGTTGATTTGCACTCTAATTTTCCTACTTATATTATTTAACTCTGTCTAACGTCATACAATTTTATTAAGCAGGGGGTGCACTGGCAGTTAATTAATGGGTAACTAGACACATGGGCAGTCTCATTATGAAGCATAAAATCGTCTAGCGTTGGACAGTAAAATACTCAAGTAGTACAACCTAATGGTTAAATTTTTTTTGTAGCAAAATGGTTTAAGTTTTATAACTGAATTTTTTTAATTTTTTTTTGCTTTGTTTTACAGATCATTACTTGAACGTGCTGATGAAATATTGATTTATAAAATATCATGTTACCAAGATGATATGCCTCGAAGAGCAATACATGAGGGAATACCTCTATTTCTAATCAAATTACAACAATACACCAAAGACAGTAGTTCTCGGATGAAATGAAAGGATTGATAAATGTTCATGACCAGCAGTGGATATTTGTGACTATAATAAATGGATACAAAGAAACTATGATGGATAAATATGGCCCCGTAATGGATATTCAGTTGATGGACATACAAAGGTCACAGAAATGTCTATTTTCAGGTACTGTTCTTTCTTGTTTGCCTGCGAACAGGCTGTAGATACTTGTATCCAGGCCATTGTTTGTTTTTTTTGTTCTGGGTACAATGAAATCCGGCATAAATCCTGGCGGTCTAAATGTTCAGTATATTTACAAATTCGATCTATTTTCTGTTTCAGTAGACTTTGATAGCTTGAAAGAAAGTTTATAACGATGATTTTCTCTGCAAAAACTGTACTTTCGAAATTCGTCAGCTTCTGAATTTGATAACCGATCTGAAAAAAAAGGAACATTTGAGTGTATGGTTATTGCATGGTTCTATATATATTCTATATATACTGCCTTTGTGCACACGCATAACAAGTGCAGCAATGCAACAGTTTAGACAGGGTCATGAGGCAGGATGTGTACAAGAAAAGCTTTGCCAGAGTTTTGTCTTTCGAAATAGAACGACGATTGGAAATTGCTGTTTGATTCTTTGTAATATCTTGTCGCTTTGTTAGTGAAAAAGAAATTTGTCACTTTCCTCATCTAAGGCCCTGTTTACATGAAACCGGAACGAAGTCAAACCGGGACCATTTCGTTTCGGTCACAGTATTATTTATAATAGATGTTTACATGAGACCGGAACGAAAATAACTCAGACCGGTCTCAAGTCATTCCGCCTGCTGAACCGAACCGACTGACTTCAGACCGGCATGAATTCGGGGATGAATGTAAACAGAAATACATTTCAGACCGGTCTCGGCTGTAACCTTGACATTGGAACAACACATGCTAACAAAAGCCATCTGAAAAAGAAAATTGCCCTGGCAAGGGGAATAAGTTGAAAATTTTGTGATTTTCGTACCGGTCTCATGTAAAGATATTGACAATTTCAATTTTCGTCCCGGTCTCATGTAAACGGGGCCTAAACCTTTTTTTTCAAAAAACTGGCATCGTTTGTCTTGAGGTTAGGGGGTACAAATGGTACCCATAGCTTAGAGGGTGCAAATGGTACGCGTAAGAAGACTTGGTGGAAATCATGTTGGTCGTTTGGATCGGCGAGAATAAGACAATTATGGTGGCAAAGTTTTTGCTGCCTCGTAGAGGCAGCACACTATTCTTGACTACGCGGTGTTTCTCCAGAGTCCACTCGACCCAGTCTTTCGCGCGATCTATGTATTGTCGAGATCTCGATCTTGTGTCTGTCTGTCTGTCTGTCTGTATGTAAAGATGTCGTAATCCGGGGGGAATAATTAAGCCTCGAGAACGTTTGTTAAATGAGGGGAGCGGTCAGAAACAAGATTTTGTATTGCGCACGCAACTCCATGTGCTCAAGAATCAAGATTTTACAATTGGTTTCACACAGGCTTTTTATACGGATGCAAGTTATCGAAAATTTTCGGAAAAATTCAGGTAAGTATGGCTCTATTTCTTTCTTCTGAAATACATCAAGGCGATGACCTTTTTAGTGTTCAATCTAGAGGCAAACAATGTGCTTTTATGAGTTTATCTGCAATTTTAACTGCCCAAAGTATCCCAGTGATCGATTGGTCGAAAACAACATTGAATAATGTCTTATTACAAGGAGACAAAATGTATTTGCAAGCTGTGGATAATGGCTTTGTTGTCTTAGAACCTGGTGTCGAATTCCTATCTGTAGATAACTTACCTAAAATTGTCAGTGTTTCAAGTTGTACGAAGTTCAACATGTTTTCTTACGAGATATGCGATTCTGTCATCGACACAGGTAATCTATCATCTGTAGTGCATGCGAAAACAACTACATGTACAACACCTATGAATCCCTTTGATACACAAATTAACGTTGAACTACCCATGGTGGTAGGACAAAACAGTAAAAGTGTACCCATGGTGGTACAACAAAATCATAACAGTCCACCTATGATGGTAAGACAAAACAGTAACAGTCTACCCGTGGTGGTAAGACAAAATAATAACAGTCCACCTGTGATGGTAGGACAAAACAGTAACAGTCTACCCGTGGTGGTAAGACAAAATAATAACAGTCCACCTGTGATGGTAGGACAAAACAGTAACAGTCTACCCGTGGTGGTAAGACAAAATAATAACAGTCCACCTGTGATGGTAGGACAAAACAGTAACAGTCTACCCGTGGTGGTAAGACAAAATAATAACAGTCCACCTGTGATGGTAGGACAAAACAGTAACAGTCTACCCGTGGTGGTACGACAAAATAATAACAGTCCACCCATTGTGCTAGAGCCCGTTGAGGCACAAAATAACATTGAACTACCCATTGTGGTAGAGCCTGTTGAGGCAAAAAGTATCACTGATCTGACCATTGTGGCAAGGGGTAACACTGATCTATCTATTGGTGTGGAGCACAATTCTGTGGTGCCTAATGAGGAAAACAATAAAAACCAAGTTTGGTTTATAAATTATGGAAAAGAGCTTCAAGGTCATGAAGACATGAAGGTTTCGCCAGAGTTCACTCGACCCAGTCTTTCGCGCCGATCTATGTATTGTCGAGATCTCGATCTTGTGTCTGTTAAGATGTCGTGAATTCCGGGGGGGAACGGCGGGGGGGAGTGCGAGAAAAATATTAAATATTTAAATTGCGCATGCACATATTTATATGGCTATATCAGTATATGCAAACTTATTCTGGATCTGACTTGATGCAAAATATACGACCATTTCCCGAAGAAACCAGGTAAGTATGGCTTTATTTCTTTGTACTAATATCCATCAAGGCCATGAACTGTTTAGCGTTCATTGTGGAGGCAAGCAATTTGATAATGTCTTATAAATAGAACATTTGATAATGTCTTATAAATACAAGGAGACAAGATGTACTTAAGAGCTCTGAAGTATTTAATGAATTTACCGGCAGTGTATAATAGCCCACCAGATTTATTCGTCAATAATGCCTTATTTACGAGTCACAATGTACTCAGTTTTAATATTTATTTGTTATGTGCCAAGACGATGAGTATGGTGTTCATTTCTAGATGTTTATAGTTTAACAACAAACGCGGAATGTTGTTAAATCAAGCTTACTGTAATAAGATCCCTAGAGCAACCCTGTGTGGATTGTTCTCTGCACATATTGACTTTATACCAGCAATATGATTAATGTAATGGTATGTCAACTGATTTTTGTATAAGATATGACTGTGTGTTATTGTTAGCATAATATGAAATAATCCTACAAGCCTACATTCATATATATAATTAATATATTCATCTGGCTGTGTCACTACATTTCACGGTGTAATATATTTTTCGATAATGCCCACAATAATTTAGAAATGTCAACAAATAGATATTGTCTCCCCATCAGCATATTGTTCGGTTGTTCTGTGATATGGGCAGCCTTGAAGGTGGCATTAAAACAATAATTGGAACAAACCCCGACTTAGGGCCTGTTTACATGGAGGCAAGTTACCCGGCAAGGCGAGTTACTCGCCCAGGCGGGACAAACAAGCGCTCTGTTTATATGGAACCAAGTTACTCGACATTTGTCGCATGATTGCCGCATGAAGCCGAAATGGCGCCAAAACAGAAAAAGGATTTAAGTCGTTTGAAACGCTAAAAACATTACAAAATATAGTGAAAGTACAAGAATAATTGCCGAGCAATTCAGGAAAACTTATCTATCGATTCGTATGTATTTTTGAGCTATTATATTTCAATGGCAAAGCACATGTAAACAGTCACCGGCTGCATCATGTAAATAGTCACCCGGGATTACTATTAGTTTCTATAACAGCCGGGATCTCACCGTTGCCGAGTAACTTGCCTTGCCGGGTAACTCGCCTCCATGTAAACAGGCCCTTAGTATTTTTATATAAACATTGTACAGTATTCAGTGGCAAGGTAGCCATGGCAACTGGCCATATGCATACTATACTGATAAACCTGCATCTATTTGAATAATGCAAATCATTAAAAATTTGCATAGCATGACCTGTTGCTATGGCTAGCTTCACCACTGACAGTATTATAATTATACAACAGCAAGACGTTACAAGCATTGAAGATATTCATATAAAACCACCCATGCCAAGAAAGTAGAATTAGAACTTTCAGCCGCCCTTCGACTTTGTGCAAGATGTTTGATATTCAAATTGGACTTTTCCTACCTCCTGAACAGGCGTCTTAAGGGCTGTTTGCATGATGGCAAAAGGGATGATTTTGATGTATTAAAATATTAGTCACTAGGCTAAACGAAAGTTCAAACGCTCAAATGTAGAGAAGTAGTTCAATTAAGTATGTTCAAATGTAGAGAAGATCTTGTGGTTCAAGAAGGTTATATTATGCTTGAACAGGCAACCTTTCATTTACAGTTAACTATACTGTAATCCATCTCTAGAAAATAGTGAAATTTTTTGCTGAATCATGCATTGCGACTTATTTAAGTACATCAAAATCATCCTGCCTCATATCTGCTGGCAAAGCGGGATCATATAAACAGCCCCTTTTTCAGCAAATTGTGCATGCTGCCTTTAATCCCTTGGATTGAGGCAGCATTTTCCTTGCGATAGTAACTTCTAGTTTTAAACATTTTCTCTCCCGTAGTAAGGTAAAGCATGTATTTTCCTGGTAGCCGGTCTTACTTCATGAAAAAATATTCCGCTACCAGTGACTACAATCTTTGCCAGAAACTATGGGACAGCTGCTGTAATTTCATATATTTTGAAAGGAATAGCGCCCCCCGTTCCCCCAGTTCAATGTTGGGCCAACAAAAATCTGATGTCTGGATGCGCGGCGCCAACATTGAAATGGGTGGGGGGAGGGAGGGTGGAAAATATGTATCAGCAAATGGTATACTACAACCGAATGCATGTGAAAACTAGATTGTCCCAATCTATATTGTCAAAGATTGTCTGTTGAAGTAATACCATTACTCTTAAATTTAACTTAATTCAACTTGTAGACATGATCAAGCTGTGTACGCAGTCAATTTTCATAAGTTCTTCACACCTTTTAGGTCCTGTAGCAATTTCGTTGCACACAGATAATTTGCGTGTACTGTGTTATACAATGCTTGCGTATGCGTGTGTTAGGAAATAGCTAAAATCCGGCTGAATTTCATCGCGTATATTTAAAATCAGATTTAAAGGCTTATAGTGGTACATTTTAGTCACAATTCATTGGATTCCATGCATGGTAACAGTATTGGAACTCTATTTAAAGAAAATTGACAAC